TGCCCGATGCTGACGTCATGTGGCTGCATGATTGCACCCGCACTGACCATACGTGTTATGATAGTCTAGTAGCAGTGGCTAAATTTAAGATTTTAATTCTTTGCTTGAAATGTTTAACTTAACTTACAAAGGTAGCTAAAACATTAAGCAATTTCTTTATGACTTGTACGAAAGCCATTCTTTTTCATACAAGCATTTCCTTCACGACTTGTAAGACTTTTCTTCATGACTTCATTCTTGATCATACATCTAGTTTAAGTGATTAAGAAAAAGAATAGATTTCATCTTTTACATTTCGACATCAAACTACGTAAAGTGATTCTGATGAAGGTTACAGATCATCAGCTGGTTTCTAATTATTTTCAATTGCACTTCAAGATATTCTGGTAATGAGATCTAGTTTCGGGCTATTTTGGTCTTAAAAAAAACCTGAAAACTGCTTGACTCAAAATTCTCTGTTTTTCATGATCCGAATATGGAAATAGGTTATCTGAACAAACTTATTATCTTTATTACATCTATTATCTTAACCTGATTTAATTTAATTACCGTATTTGCCGCATAAGACGCACTTTTTTTCTTTGAAAATAGGTCTGAGAAACGGGCTGCGTTTTATACGCCGATACACAGATTATTCGGAGGTAGCATTTCGCAAGTTTGTGAATGGGTCAAAGCTTGATGGGTTGCTGTCAAAACCGAGACAGTGGTTAAATCATTTAAGAAGTGTGACATTAGTAATGCACTGGATGGCACAGAGGAAAACTTGTTGTATGAGGACTCAGATTCTGATTTAGAAGAGGTTTCAACTGACTTTACACTTAACTGTAGAGAAGAGTGTCTGGGTTTTGACGAAGAAAACTAAAAGGTGTTCTTTCTCAGATAGAATATTTGCAGAGAGCATTTCTTTTATTTTAAAAAAACTGTAAATTCACTATGATAATCAGTAATAAAGTTTTATCCTTCATAAATGTGGATAGAAAAGGGGGTGCGTCTTATACGCCGGCAAAAAACGGTGATTAAAGCTTTATTTTTTTTATTTCACCAGAACATTTTCTAAAAATCACTCTTTATCACCCGCAATCTAAGTAATATTTATTGAACTTCGAAATTGTGTGTCCACATATCTTTCGTGTGTAGTTTAAAAGGAAAACAGTTCATTAAAATATGAAACTTCGGAGGTGGAATAATGGTGATACAACATAATGGTAATGTAAACGTTTCATTAAGGTAACAAATTCAACAGTTTTTTTAAGTAACAAATTTAACAGTTTTAGTAACAAATTCAACAGTTTAGCAATATATTCATGATATCTTTATTAAACCTATAAGGTATTTTTACCGCCTTCCTAGCACACCTTCGTGGTGCAGTAATCAGCACATTCGGCGTGTATTCGAGAGGTCCGTGGTTTGAGGAGACCATTGCTCATTTTTCATCTCTCCCGCTTCGAAATAACCTAATGTCTCTACAGTGGAGCCCGAACTAAAAAAGGTGGTGGATAATGATTCTTCATCACCAGGTTTTGGCGATTGGGTCCCCTAATCCCAGTCGCTCTTTAAAAGGGGGAGTATATAAGGTATTTCTCCCGCCTTCTTAGCATGCCTTCGTAGTGTAGTGGTCAGCACGCTCGACGCGTATTCGAGAGGTCCGTGGTTCGAGTCCTGGCGAGGGCTTTGCTCATTTTTCATCTCTCCTCCTTCAAAATAATCTAATGTATCTACAAACCCATAAATTTTGTCAAAGTAAGAAACCTTGAAAGTGATGCCTTAATTTACCTGGAATATTTTGGATGTAAAACAAGGTACATATATGGATACTGTGTAATAGTTATTTCAGAGAAGAAGTGGGCAAGACAATCAAATTTTAAAATCTACCTGAATGAACTATTTTGATTGGTTCTGATAATTTCTGATAATTTCATGTTATTCTGTCTGGGTTTATGCATCAATTCCATCGCTGTTACCTGATTGTAATGCTCGACGGAATACTTTTAAACTATTTATATTATGTATATACTATGTATTATGCATATTTTGTGATTTTACATCAGTGTGTTTTACTAATTAAGATTCTGAATTCGATTTTGCTTATTAGATTTATGATTATTTTTATTAGATTACGATTATTTTCTGATATGAGAAAAAAAAGAATCTATCTCTCGAGTTCAAAATATTATTAAAGCGTTTTATTGTGATGTTTTGAGAAGCCAGAAAGGAAATATTTGCACAAGTCTGCTCATCTGCGCACAGGGATGAGAATATATTGCTTCAGTACAAAGAATACATTAAGTCCCAATGTTTCGAAAAAACAGGAACTGTCGGTGGAAATGACACTTACAATGCGTCCTTTATTAATTTTTTTTCAAATTTGGCACTCTGAGATTTACTACTTTCAAGACTAGATGAAAGCTTGCCCTGTTCATGTATACGGCATCTAGCGAAATCATTAAGGAATGCTAAATATACTTAAAATGATTTCAAGTTGAAGAGAATAGTGAGCAGATTTAATTTAGGTTTGAAGAGGTATTTTTGGAATTTAGGTATTTTTGGAAGCAGGCAAGATGAAAAATGAGCAACGTCTTCACCAAGAATCGAACCACGGACCTCTGAAATACGCGCCTAGCATGCAGACCACCACACCACGAAGGCATGCCAAGAAGGCGGGAGAAATACCTTATAGGGTTAATTTTCGAAATTTAGTTGCCTTCATCTAGTTTCTTTTTAATTATCGTGTACTAGCTAGCAGCTACGCGGCCAGCCTTCGTCTGGCTTTTAAATGCACCGGGAAAATGCCTAAAGGGAACACCAAACGTTAAATTTAAAAACTGTGCAGAATTTTACTCAGCAGGACAACTTCATCAAAAAAAAAAAAAAGTATTATATATGATAAAATTACAATGAAATAAGCAGTTTCCTTTAATACAAATGTTAATTATCTTAATAAATAAATTAGTCATCTTCCCGTTGCATTCAAATAAATGGCATAAAGGAAGTTAAGAACTTTGTTTCCTAAACAAATCATGCAAAACTTTTAATACAATTAAAGTTATACATAATTAAAACATAATATAAAAAACGAAAAATTAAAACATAATATAAAAAATGACAATGAAATAAGCAATAAATCTCATATTTTCAAGAGAAAACAGTTAGCAGTCCAGTATTCAAAGCTGTGAATGAAAAACTGTTGCCAAATCCACATTTCTAAAAGAATGAAACTATCATCAGAAAGCAATAACTAATCAAAACTGTGCTTTGTGGATGACATAATTCAAAATATACAAACCTCTTTGCCATTAGCTAATAAAGAGAGGGGAGAATAAAGGAAATTCTTTCTGTTGTGCCTCGCGAGACACATGCGCGTCAGAATAAGAAGATTGCGATGTGCGTGTTGCGTGTCCAAACATCAAAAGAAAAACAGCAGCATTTTATCTCATATTTTCAACAGTCAGCAGCCCAGTATACAAAGCATTGAATGAAAAACTGTTGTCAAAACCACATTTCTAAAAGAATGAAACTATTCAAAATGAAGCAATAAAATCGAAAAGATAAAATAATAATAATAAAAAAACTGATTCGAATTTTCAAAAACTCGCTTGGAGGTGCACTGGCTCTTGTTTAGATGCACCTATATACCAAATTTCGTAGCCCTGGGTCTATTAGCTTACGCGAAGTACGAACGAAAGACACAGACAGAATCTTTTTTTTATTATATGTAAAGATTTATATAACTCTCAATACCCTTCAGTCTCAAAAGTTAATATAAATCAATATTCAATTTTTATTCATTTAAAAAGTAGATTGAATATAAAAATAGCAAAAAACATTTATTTTACATGTACTTTTTCACAGATCATGTTTGAAATGATATTCTTTAAGTTCAACACATTTGCTTACACATTTCATCATATTTCTTGCGATCTTACGGAACTTTCATTTATCTGTATTACATAGCATTTTATATCTTACATAGCAGCAACCATGTTTATTTTCAAATTATACAGATTTTGTGAATTGTCTCTGTACATAATTTAGTTTAAATAGTAGACACATTACGTATTTTTGAAAGAGAAAAGATGAAAAATGAGCTATGCTCTCGCCGGGAATCGAATCACGAATCTCTCGAATATGCGCAGAGCGTGCTAACCACTACACTACGTAGGCATGCTAAAAAGGCGGGAGAAATACCTTATATACTTTCCCTTCTAAAGGGTGATTGGGATTTAGGGGATCCAGTCGCCAAATTATGATGGTGAAGAGTCATCATTCACCACCTTTTAGTTCGGCGCCACTGTAAAGACATTAGGTTATTTCGAAGTAGGAGAGATGAAAAATGAGCAACGCCTTTACCGGGATTCGAACCACGGGCCTCTCGAATACGCGCCGAGCGTGCTGACCGTTACACTACGAAGGCATGCTAAGAAGAAAGGAGAAGTACCTTACATAATCTCCCCTTTAAAGGGTGACTGGTGATTAGGGGACTCAATCGCCAAATCCTGGTGGGGAGGATCATCATCCCCCACATCTTTTTTTAGTTCGGGCGCTACTGTAGAGTCATTGGGTTATTTCGAAGCAGGAGAGATGAAAATGAGCAACACCTTCACCGGGAATCGAACCGTGGACCTCTCGAGTGCGCGCCGCGCGTAGTGACCACTACACTACGAAGGCATGCTGAGAAGGAGGAAGAAATACCTTATAAAATGAGTCCATAAAAATTATCTACATTTCAACATTTCCAGTGGTTCTCCGCAAATATCCATTAAACTCAAATCTGCTTTTTAAAGAATTTCGTTTTTTCTTAACAAAACAGTGTATCAACCTCTTGTACATAATAGAAAAGCATGTCTATTAGATAATCACTACACGCAAGATTTGAACAAAATTTTGTACTCTCTTTGTCTTCTCTACGAACTACATTAAACTAAATTCTCTGGAAAAGCTAAATACTCATAAGCTCATTAAATGGAATGTAAAATTTCTACATGGGTTAAACTGAAACTTACCTGTCTGGATTAAATTTTTCAGGTTCAGGATAGTATTTTGGATCTCTATGAATAGCGTAGACAGGTGTTGTTACTACCATGCCTTTTGGAACGGTAATTCCCGTGTCACCTAGTTTGTAATCAGCATCTGCAACTCGCTCAGTCCTATATAAACAAATAAAATGTTTACAAATAATATCTAAACAGAAATATAATTCTTACCATCCAATTTCTGTTATCGTTACTATTAGTAAAAAGCAATTCTTCATTTTACAAATGGCAACATTTATTCTTTTCATCATTAGTAGGAAAATGAAAATTGAAGAATGTTTCCTTCAAAAATATTCTTAAAATGGTTTGACCCAAAAGTATAATCTATAAAAATAATCTCTGGAGAATTACACTGAACAGCTATTTTACAAAATGAAGGGATTTGTATTGAATTTTAAATCTATTGCTTTGGTAAATTATAGATTTCATAACGATTAAAAAGTATAGAAATTTTAAGCTATTTTCGTTAAAAAAATTGTAATTTAAAAAAAAAAGCAAATTATCTTTTATTAATTTTTTACAACAAAAGCAGTTACGTAATAAGCAGTTTGATAATACTCAGAACATAATTACTAAATATTACTAAATGTGTGTCTAGTACTTGGTTAATATTGCATTTCAAAATATATATATATAATTTATTTACTAAAGAAATACTGATTATATGATCCCTAATATAGATTTAGTAGAAGTATCAAAAAAGAGTGAACCCATATGTAGGAATTTTGATTCCGAAAATTGTGTTGTAAAGTAACTTGAAATTGAATTAAAATCATGAATAACAAAATTTCAAACTTTGAAAAAGAAATTAAATTAAAAGCAAGAAATTATCGCTATTGATCGAAAATTAGTTGACTTTTCAAGAGGAACAAACCAACTCCCGTTCAATGAACAATAATTAATAAATACGAAGGTGTTTCGTCTTTTACTCATGCTAGAATGGTTATGCCAAATTGGCAAATGAGGTTAGGCCAAATAGTTCCGTGAAGTGATGGGATTTAAAACCAAAGTAGAGTACCAAAGAACTCATTCTGAATTCAGCATTTTTGCTAATACAAATTTTGAGTGAAAAGCAATTTATGTAGTAAAATTTATAAAGTACTTGAGTAAATGTCCCCCGACACCCTCGCCTTTATGCATGCTAACCCAAAACTATTTGTACAAAAACTAAACAGTGGTAATTCTAATTGGAAACTTGAAATAGCATTCAAAAAGCAATTGCAGTTCTCAAAGCAATTGAAATAAACATTAGAAAATTAAGAAACATAATGCTATGTTTGCAAAAACAAATTAAATAATAAAAATTGAACAATTAATATATATATATAATAAGAAAAAATGTGAAGTGTACATGAAGATATAAAAGGCCAGAAAATCCATTAATTAACTTACGTTCTCTCTAGTGGGATGTCGGTAAAGTGTTTTCCCCGGTGTCTGACTCAGAAGGGGTTGTGTGTCCGAAATTCCGGTTATTGGCAGCGGGGATACTTTGAATTATTTCAGGCGGCGAAACTTGTGAGAAGTAATTTATGGGACATGGGAGGAACCAGAAATGCTTGAGGGACGTTTGTTGCGGAGTTCTTATGTGAGTGAAAATGCCTGTTAAACTTTTGAATATACTAACTAGTGATTGAAAATTAATTAATTTCTGGCTAATTGTCGTGTCGGAACGAGGAAGAAATTTAGAAAAGGAAAAAAAGTAATTTTCACTGTCAACGAGCTATTTGACAGACTAAAGATTATGAAATAGGCTCATTTTTTTAGTAACAGCATAAAAAAAGTCTGAAAACAATTAGCTTTTAACATTATATACAATTTTGTAATTACATTATGTACAAATCCTTCAACTGATAGTCATCCAACTTATACCGCCTTCTCAGGTTTAAGAACAAATAATCATATCCCTATCAGTTAAATGATTTAGAATGAGGATTTAACGCTTGCTCTTTTAAGACAATTGTTAATAAATCGATTATAGGTATTAGATTATTTTTGAGAATTTTAATGAGGAGCAAAATTTCGCGTTGTAACTCTATCGTATCTGTGCAAATATTTTAATGCATTGTATTTGATTTATTATTGTATTACTAATAACTTGTTTGGAAATGTTGGATGTCCAATTTATTAATTTGTTAGTACTGAAACTGAAGTTTCTCGTTTTGTGAAAAAGTAAAATTTTTTTGCAGATAATGATTTGAAGATCGAGATAGTCGATGTTATTTTGCGAATTATTAGTTTTATTAAGTGTAAGGCATTCTGGATAAATCTCGGAGTACTCAATCTTATTAAAGTTATTAAATGTAATAAGATTACCTATATATCTGTAAGTGTGCTTGTAGTAATTTAATTCTTGCTGTTGTAAATTTTTTTGGAAGTGTAAATTCTTTGATAAATAAAAAGAGATTATAGATCGAAGGTACTGGAATGTGAGCCCATTGGAAGTCCTCTGACTTTGTTTAAAAAATTGATTTTGAAATTTACGGTAGTTATGAAAAAGTGTGCATTTTAGGTAGGTTTTCCATTTACTAAGATTCACAATCTCCATCATCGATTGTCTTTTAGTCTAAAACTAATTTTTATGTTTCGTATTTATTTAAATTTCTATGACTTTATATATTTTAATCAATATAATTTTTCCTTCCAATATTAATATAACTTTTCCTTAGTTGTTTAAATATTGTTATACTTAAATTTGTTATATTTAAATTAATACTTTCAAGTATTCAGCTGAAATTTAAAAAATCATATTGCAAGTTTTCATTTCTTTTTAATTAGTAAACATCTTTTAATTACCTTATAGCTGGAGGATACAACCTCAGAGTTTCAGATATAACGTTATCCAGATACTTCATGCTCTGTATAGCGTCATATGTCAGTTCGCCCTGCAAAGTGAAATAATAATTCATTTATTTACATATTCAAGAATTCATGAGACTTTCATTCACAGAAGCACACGAAGCAAATAATCAGAGTAATTTCGATACTGCTGAGTAAAGATATAAGAAGCTAATTTTCTGCTCCAAATATTGCAATAAAATAAATAACACTGCTTTTGAAGTTTAAAAAATGAAGGCTTCCATTTTTCTTGATGAGAAATTTTGATGAGCGTTAACATGCTGAAATGCAGCGCCCGGAATGCGTCAAAAAATGCGGAGGACCTCTGGCTCCACAACTTCTCTTATGTAGCGATCACTGTTGAGGCTGTTCGCATCAGATGGGTTGGACAATTACAAGCCAATAGCTCCCCACAGCATGATTTTAGACGTTTGTGCAGTATGATGCTGGATAACACACCGTGGGAGCAAGTATTCATAAGAGTCCATTTATTGCGTAGCCGTGTCCACTGAAGTCGAAGGCGTTTGTGACAGGGGAATCCTGCGTAGAGGAACCCTTACACGCAGTTTATGCTGCAGCAGACGGCGACGATCCGTGGAGCTAAAATAACACAGCACCTGTAGCCGTCCTCCAACGTTTGCTATCACACGAGAGGATGCTGTACGAACCGCCCGTCACAGCCATGCGGATGAGGTGTCAGTCGTTCCGTGCCGTTGTGCTATTGCTTGTCCCACTACCAGGCTTTGGCTTTTTTTGGTTCTCCTCTGTCCATTTCTTCCAAACACGCATTACTGTTGTGGCATTGCGCTGCGTGCGGATTGCGATTGCTCGATACAAAGGCCCACCCTCTCGCATACCCACGATGCGGCCTGGTTCGAATTCATGTTTGGTATGTTAACGTCTGCTGTTAACGAGACATATTGACCACTAATTAAAAGTTCACCGCAGATAGAGGGCGATAAACAGATTTCAGCGCAACTTTACAATCATTTATATGCATGGAATAAGTGGTATCGTTCTCATTCCACGCATGCGCAATCGCTTTGAAATTCTAATAATTTGCATGTCTTACCTCACTTTACACTTCATGTAAGTTTGACTCAATTTGCATAATTCCTTCATGGTGTAATTTTTACAAACATTATTGTATGTTTAGCTGTACCTACAAGTTAGTAGTGTAAATAAACTGTTAGACACCTTGACTGCATTCATAAGAGTCCATTTATTTTGAGGGCGAGGACACAAGACATCTTTAGCTCAGAAAGGTTGAATTAAAAGTAATTAAGTGACAATTAGGTTTAACTTTATATTGTAAGCTGAAAGTATATATTAGGTTCTGCAATTCAGAATTTGAGCTACATCGGTCTGAAACCAAAGCGCAGGACAGAGGAAAGTGAATACTGGGTATTGCTGTGTTTCGACTATGTCACAAATCTTTGACAGCTGTTTTGCATTTAAAAATATAACGACTAATGTGACATTTATTTTTCTTTCTCCGCAGACATGGACAACGGATGCTTGAAATCGTGGACACTGAATCAATTATTACTGTGGCACAACTGTATGCAGATTTAGTGGAAAATTTCCTCTGTTTAACGTTATTTACTAAAATCTATTAAGAATTTTCTTTTAGCATGTTGTAGAGACATTATTTCAAAGCAGGAGACATGAAAAATGAGCAATGCTGTCACCGGGACTTGAACCACAGATTTCTTGAATACCGAGTGGGCTAGCGCCGAGTGTGCTGACCAGTACTCTACGAAGGCACGCTAAGAAAGCACGAAAAATACCTTATATACTCTCAATTTTAAACAGCGACTGGAAATTAGGGAACGAAATCGCCAAATTCCAGTGCGGAGAATCATCATCCACCACCTTTTTTAGATCGCTCTCCGCTATAAAGACATTAGGTTAATTTTGAAAGAAGAAAAATGAAGAAATGAGCAATGCTGGGACTCTAACCTTAACCCTCTCGAATATGCGCAGAGTGTGCTGACAACTACACCACGAAGGCATGCTAAGAAAGCGGGAGATATACCTTATATTGTCCCATTTTTGAAGAGCGACTGGGGATTATGGGACTAAATCACCAAATCTCGGTGGTAGAGAATCATCATCCACCACCTTTTTTAGTTAGAGCGCTACTATAGACACATTAGGTTATTTTGGAATTAGAAAAATGAAGAAATGAGCAATGCCCTCGCAGGAATTCGAACCTCGGATCTCTCGAATACGCGCCGAGTGTGCTGACCGTTACACTACGAAGTCATGCTAAGAAGGCGTGAGAAACACCTTATAATGTTAGATACAATTAAATGAATATTTAAAATCCAAGCTATTGCGAAGAAAAGGTGACAGTAGGATAGGAAGTTACGTTAGGTGATTTGAATACGCCGAAGCCCACGAAAGCTATCTGTCTAAAAGAAAGAATATCTTCGTGAAGGATTTTATAGAAGAAATTAACTCGTATTCATGTTAGACTTAAGGAAAATACGAAGTATCGCTAGACAGCCATCCCATTCACCAGATTTCAAACCCATGTCGAACTACTAGTATTCAGCGGTCTTAAGCATTCGGCGACTGATGAGATATCAGTCCGATAGAAAGTACGAGAAAAAATATGTGAATGAAAGCTTACATTATTCTCCTTGACTGCATCGTCAATTTCTGCTATTAGTTTATCCTGAACGTCTGGATTTAAGGCAAGGTTGTACGTAGCGAAAGCTAAAGTAGATGCTGTGGTATCGTAACCAGCCAAAAAGAAGATCACACACTGCGCAACAAGCTCATCCAAAGATAAATCTGTTAAAAAGGAAATAATGAAATACACTCACTTCCAGAAGTTAAGCACGAAGATGTAAAATGAAAAAAAAAATCAACAAATACTGCTTTGATTGACGCAAAATTCGGCAGGAAAGTAGCATATATATTTATGCATAAAACAAAATCAATAATTATATACATTAAATTTCTGTAAGTTATCAGATAATGAAATACTGGAGACTTAAACAGAATTATGTATAAAGTGAAAATAAACAGCATAAAATGAGAAAAAGGACATTAATAGGGTATGTATCCCCCCTCATCTGTATACAAAGTTTACACCTTGTGACCATGCTTTCAATTAGGTGGTCAACCACCGCAGAATTAAGCAATCGCTATTCTTCTTGTAGAGCAGTTTGCAGCTCAATAAGAGTGGCTGGAGGTGGGAAACGTGATGATACAGCACGGCCGAGAGCATCCCAAAGATTTTCAATGGGATTAAGATCGGGCGAATATGCTGGTCACGCCATACGCGCAATCCCTTCACTCTCCAGGTAGTCATCGACGATGTCAGCTCTGTGGGGAAGTGCGTTATCGTCCATTAAAACAAAAGTAGGGCCAACTGCTGCAGCGTACAATCTCACAGTGGATTCTAGGACTTCATCTCGATACCAGACAGCCGTCAAAGAACCCCTTTTAAAGATGTGCATTTCGGTGTATTAATCTATCTCTTTGTAACACCCCACTCAGCCAAAAATTAACCTCACTTTTATTGCTAGATGTTTTATTTTTTTATGTGATCGATAAAATCAGGTAATTTAAGTTTCAAGTTTATGAACTAGCTAACCTAAAAGCAACTGAGCAAAATTTGAGGTAATGTTAGAACGACAGAGCATCGAGAACAGCAGCAATTCTGCAAAGATCACGACTGATCCTGATACTTTATTTGTGATATCAGATATCTTATTCAAAAACAATTACATACGTTTTCATAAACAAAAGTTTATTCTATAGACGAGATAAATGATATATATAATTAAATTTATTAAATCTATTTAAATTAATTTTATTGCATTAATAGCCTGTAAGATTCTGCTTTAATTATCCCAATTGTCTTATAAATTTTGCTTTAATGTAACTTCTACTATCGTTAGCTTCCACCAGAATGCAAGTTAAAGTATTAATAAGCTCGGATTTGTTAAGTTTTCGAGATGGCGCGTTTGGCAGCATAACTTGGACGCCAATCTGTAGCAGATTTCTGGCAACTGCAATATAATTTACAGGCGCAAGTTTTTGCTACCTGCGAGTATATTGTTAGAGGTCAGCCGAGGTTTAGGTAAAGTGAGTTAATTTTTGTACTCAGCATTGATTAACCCTTTCACCGTCCTACAAAACTCAAATATTTGCTTCTCTTCCACCCCAAAGATTAACATTTTGCCTATGAAATTGACCTGAGAAATGTTCACCAGCTGTCAAAACCTATTTAGAAAACAACCTATTTATCATACTCAAGGATGTTGAATACCGTCTCCATACACAGGAGAAAAAATTGTTTTGTTTTTCCTAGTCTCTTATCTGAAAATTAAGAAAAGCGATCGCCAATGGCACGCTTTTAAATCAGGAGTAGTTTCACTGCAATGCCAGCTGAAAGTGTGCTAAAGTGCATTCCAAGTTCCCGCCTTTTTAAGTGAACTTGCTTTTGAGTGATCTTGTACAGCCCGTCTGTGGAGACAGTGTGAGTAATTAAATCTTCAGTCACCTCTGTTCACTTTCGCTTCAATGTGTATGGTAAGCAATTTTGCAGGAGGGCATCTATGAAATCTGCTAGTCGGTGCTCATCGGATAATAGTTTGCATTAAAGTTAGAGCGAGGCTAACGCATTATTCGAATTTTTTGCTCTTGTAGCTGTATTTCCTGAGTAAAATATTCAATCGCTATCATACTGTTAGTGTTTCGTTTTTAATTCATGAAGCGATTTTCTTTCCATTCGGATAAATGCTTTGTGAGTCGCTTTTTATGTTATAAATTGTTTTATTGTTCTATTCAATTAATTCAATATAAAGAAATTTTATTATCTATAATAATGCTTGAGATAAAAAGCAATGCTATTTACTAGCTGATTTATATTAGATGCCTTATAATTGATGATAATTGATCGTTAGCACATTTTTTATATATATTATTAATTATTAGACGAGGTATGTAATTTATTTTTTCTTCTAACTCTTTTTGTGGCAAAAGTAGATTTAAGAAAAATCTATATTTTCTGCCAAAGAACTGCAATCACTTCTATTCGATCGGGCGTCTTGAATTTACAACAGACAGACCTACCATATACTTCACTTTTAGGACCGTTAAAATATCGCTGAATTTCCTTGGACGCTATATTTAATACGGTACATTTTCCTTGCACGCTAATTTACATACCTTTATTCCTTTAAAAATAATTGTAATACGTAAATACTTCACTGAGAAGATATAGGTTTTAAAATGATAATTAGCAAAAACACATTTTTCTCAATTAATGAAAAAGAACAGCATATTGAATGCTGTAAATTTAAAATTTATAATTATTTTTTTTATTTTCACAATACTGTTGCATTGAATGACTTTTCATATCTATATAAGCTTATATAAAATATGTGTACACTAGAGGATAAAAAGCAGAATTAGTTACTTTTCTTGGAGTAAATTTCTTTCAAAACGTGATGATGATGGTCATCGTCATTATAGTTTTGTGCAATATCTCCCGTTTCCTTTTCTGAGGCATCCGAGGTTTCCTCCTTTGATACATCTTTGGCAGTGTCCAGCAGCAATTGCAGAAAATCATTCCTAGTCTAGATCAGAAAAATATCTTTAACAGAAAATAAAAGTTACAGTTTTTCTTTTCAATTCCTAGCACATCTAACTGTTATCTAATCAACATAAAAACAACAACAATAAAGTGATTTGTTTTCATACTTATCCAAATAATAACAAATATATATCTGAAAGTTTTATGTAAGCTCTCTGAAATGTAAACTTGGCCCGTGATAAATTATTCAGAAAAGAAGAAAACGACTGATGATTCAACAGCGATACTTTCTGTTATTCTGGGAAATCTATTAATCGAACTGTTTCATTTTAGAAGACATATAATTGAAAAGATATCTGGTAGACAGCTTTTGAAATCATCATTGCTTTTTTTCAGCCTGTGAACAAAGCAAATGTTGGAATTTTCATCGTTTTGCAGTTGAAACAGACCCCTTTTCCCCTTTTTTTTTATTACTGAGGCCCATACAGAAGTATTTGCCAAAGAAAGGGATTTTCATGGAAGACTTTTAAGCCACACTGGGTCGTATCTGAGTTACACACCGAAAATCACGAGAACGCCCATGCAGCCAGGTTTTACCACAGTTCAGCGATTTTACAGCTCGGCGGCTGGTGGGCTAAAACTTATTTTTGGCAAAGGATTTGGAGAAAATGTGTTGAACAAAAAAAAAAAAAAAAAAAAAAAAAAAAAAAAAAATGTGCCAAAGATACAAATGAATCTACATGAAAGTCAGAAGGCTTGAACTGAGGTAGCCAAAGGTATGCTATAATGACCCCCACAAAGCACCACTCTCGACATTATATAATGTGAGCTATGAACGCTCTAATATCAGCAATTTCTAGAAGGTTGGGCAAAAGCAACTTCCATCACACCGTCCTTTACGAAAACTGACATTGAACCATCGTTGCCAACGGTTTCGGAACTTTATGATCATCTTGCATGACTGAATGTCGCAGTTTATTAGAGTACAGTGCATAGTCTCACTTTTATTTCATTAATAATCATAGAGTCTGGAGACGGTCCAATCTCCAAATTCCATACTGTTTGACAACGTGGCACCAAGGTTTGAACCACTCTCGCGCTGCAGCCAGTTATACTACCTTTCTTTCAGCGTTTTCAAGTAAAGCAAGGCCGGAGGCAATCGCCAACAGTCAGGCACTGTAAGACATCCAAATACTTTCTTGGCCACCGATGTTTTCAGATCTCATCTCACACCAAGTGAGGATTTGTGGGATGTAATTGGCCGTCGTTTATTTAATCTGCCCCAGCCTCAATTGGGGAACGCATTACGGAGGGTGGTTGAAAGCATTTGATCACCCATCCTTCAGGATATTTCATGCATGCTGATTTCATCTTTACAAACAGTTGCTTCTTGTATCGCCGCAAAAGGTGGTTGGGCATCCAACTGGTCAGTCTGCTTATTGATGCAATACTATTTGTTAATTTTCATCACATTTTACTCAGTTTTTCATATTACTGCATATGTCCTGTCAGACAGTGCATTTCCTAATCTTCACTAAATGTTAAAATAACTATTTGAGATACTGATTTGAATCGCTTGTTGCAACTGAAAGCTGAAGTTATTGATTGAGGCATTCCTCTTATTATTACAATTCTCTAATTAAAAATAATTATGATAGTATTGCTGTCGTTTCATTTTTAAAACCTCAAAGGAAACCACTTTCGAGTGCTTATTGTTTTCAGTTCATTAATTCCGTGGCTTGGCAAAATAAAAATAATTGCCATTTCAGGGAAATAGTTATTCTATCCTTCACGCTTAAGTAATCCATTGCAATAAAAGCACAACTATGTCTTGAATAATTACTTCCTTTGATAAATAAATACAAAAAGCTTCTCGTGACGATAATTTATGGTGAAAAAATATCAACTCTCTTCTTTGTACCATTTGCATTGCTTTTTTACCCATTCGTTTTAAACGCATGATTTTATTTTCTCTGTCTTGAATTCTTCGGGGGTATTCTTAAATTCACAGGGTTTCAGACTTAAGTCCTTCCCATTAAATTGCATTTTTCACAGAGCTTTATAAGCGAGATGAATAGAACTATTTTGTGGCAAATGTTGTGGGCGAAGCGTTTTCCATTTCCTCATCTGAAAAGAACTTCTCACGTAAATGCCTTTTTATTGTTCAAGAAGACGCAAAAATCACTAAAATTAGGCAATATGCAAGGAGCCTTAGTGCTAGCAGATCGATATCAGAGACTGCTGCCAGTGCCACAGCGGCGACATGCAGCGGAGTACTGACTTTGACAGAAATATATGTTTTTTGAGCAAATCCGAAATTTTCTCCGTCGTGACTCGAATATTGTTGCGAAACGTCCAGCTTGCGGTGAGACAGCTTTCCCGCAGAACGGGTTTAGGGTTACCAGAATAAAGCAGAGAAAGGTAGGGTTGCCAGATTTTGCGCGAAATCGTTCATTTGGAGATAATTGACAACAAAATTGGCGATACGATATAGACGAAGCGAGAACATTCTAGAACGCATTCTCAGCGGTTTTCCTCGGGAATGTTCTCGAAGGTACGTTAAAGCTATATATATGCCTGTACGCGGAGAAAGTATTACCTTGAATTTAGTAGCGTAGTAATAGTGTCTCGAGTTCAGAGATTAGCTTGAGAGCGATCGACCGAGTCTAGAGCGGTACTTTAGTGCTTTGTCGTGAAGCTCTTTTTACTGTTATAGCCTGAAGGTTGTGTTGCTGATTGTTTCAGCCTGCTTATCGTAGTTTTCCGACAACTGCAAACGTGTCTTTGGAACTGCCCTGTGTAATACTGGCGAATAAATTGTGTTTTGATCCTTCGCCAAGTATTGTCATCAATTACTCCAAATACACGAACACGTAAAATGCAACAATACGTTTACAATACAGTTTATGTTCACTGTCTCCCCGCTGGCATGCAGAATTGACATCTGGTAGCAGAATTCACGTTTCGGATGATCGACCAAAGTGTCCTCTGTTGATTATTCGTGCGTCACCGCCTTGAAGCTTCTCTGTCATTAAAACATTGAAATACGACTTTTTATGTTGGGGATTATTGAAACTGCATATTACAGTCGATAGTGTCCTAGAATCAAAGAAATGATACCATACATATATTCTCTGCAGAATTCAAATTGGGAGGTCTTCCCAAGTATTGAATTAGGAAATTTAAAAATTAGAACAAAAAATTTACTTTTCCTGTCTTTTTTCTTTCTTCAATAATTTGATGTGTGACTTCAGTAAAGAAATGCAATGGCCCAGGTGCAAAAACTGCTATTCGGAAGAATCTCATAAAACTTGGCCACAGAACTGTAATAAAACAATGGTTCAGCCAAAGATTTTAAGCAGTTTTTGATATAATAATCTGTTATTAAATATAACATTAAGTATGAAAAATAATTCATACATTATAATTTTTAACTGTACAACTTAATAAAAAATCTGATGTGTACATCGCATGACTTCTTTGTACGGAATATTAAATTATACGCAGTTTTTCCTGCATTTAATTAAAAATTATTTCCTCGAATTTCATTAGAGATATGTTTCTTATTCAATTAATTCAGTTCTCACTTCGCGACAAGGCAAAAATATATAAAACCTCAAAATGACTTATTAAAAATTGAGAAATGTAGATAAATATAAAACACCAAATACAATTAAAAAAATTAAAAAAACAATTTTTGCGATTCAAATTAGACTTTCTACGCAAAAACAATCAATTCGGCCAGCGTGCAAGAAGACAGACTTCTCGATGCACAGAACTCCCACTCGGCAAAAAAACATTAAAGGTGTAGACACTGACTTAACTCACTATTCTGCTAAATTTCAAATGTAAACAAATATGGCTGCTATGGTAAAAAAATACGCTTAGCCGATCTTGAGCAATTAAATTGTTGATAATTCGACAACTATTGCATGCAGATTAATTAAGTTAAGGCATAAATATCTTAACCGGAATATAAGAGCAACATAATTAAATAAGTTCTAATGCAAAAAATTCACGATTTACCAAAATATAAGAATAAAAAAACTGAGAGCTCACCCGAGGCGGGTAACGGATTGGGTATATATATATTATATATATACATAATAAATATTGAATATAAATATATTCAATATTTATAAATATAATACATAATTTAGTAGAATATATCAAAAAGAGGGCACCCATGTAGGAAGTTTAATCCGAAATTGTTGTTTAAAGAATTGAATGTAATCATGAAAAAAACTTTTAAGGGACTTGAATTTAAATCATGATAACAAATTTCAAACTTTGAAAAAGAAATTAAAAAATATTTTATATTAATATTTTTAATATTTTTTTTAAAAACATTAAAAATAAGTAATTAACAAGTAATATAGCATAATTACTTGTTATTACTTACTTTTATGTTTTTTTTAAATTTTTTATTTTATTTTCAAATTTGAAATTTTTTTATTCATGATTAAAAATTCAAGTCCCCTTAAAGTTTTTTTCATGATTTACATTCAAGCCCTTAAAACACAATTTTCGGAATTAAACTTCCTTTATATGTGTCCTCTTTTTGATACATTCTACTAAATTTATATTAGGAGATAATATAATCTAAATTTCTTTAGTAAATAAATAATTATTATCTTACTTTGCAGCTATTGCGCAAGTATTAGAGAAACTTGATTTCGTATTCAATAAATTTTTAGATCATTCAGTATTTATATTTACATATTTATATACTTTTGGTTCGGCCGATTCCAACCATAAAGCGAGGTTTCACAACTACATGTTATAACAGTCCTATATACTAAATTTCATCGCTCTGAGACTAATCATTTTTTAGTTATGCGAGATATGCGATATGAGTTATGAGAGTTATGCGATACGTACGTACAGACGTCACGAAAAAAAAATTTCTTCTGAATCCATTTTAAACAGCTTTTTGAATCCGTTTTAGGAACAAAGTCCTTTATTCTGTCCGTACATAAAGATGTCCCGCAAAAACATCGTATAAATGGATTCAAGTGAGGTCAAAATGGATATTTTCGTTGTAATATGATACCCGAAATTTTTCCGGATTACAATCTTCCTTTACTTCGTACAGGGAAGTAAAAATGCCTTGATTTATTAGCCCAAAGGGGCAATTTGCCCAAAAGGCCTGTTAATTTTGTTTTGGCATTTTGCGTTGGTTCACTATAAACGGTGTTTTACTTTTCAAATTGCTGCCATCAAATATTAGAGTCCTGCATTATATTTACAGAAACTAAATAATGGATAATCTGCATGAACGTGTGCATGTTCCTCGCACTGTGAAAAAAAAAAAAAAAAAAAAAAAAAAAAAAAAAAAAAAAAAGCATCTAAAGACATCAAGTTATAAATAACGTAGTCCTCCACTCGAATATGGGCATCTGGAAGCCCAAATTCGGAATTTGGAACTTGTTCTATTATCTATTTCATATTTTGTAAAACTTTAACGAATGTTTGATTAACAAACACAAGAATTTCAAAGCGAGCAATGGCAGCGTTCTACAACAAAAAAAAAAAAAAAAAAAAAAAAAATCTCCAGCGCGCAAGATTGTGTATCGGAAATTCTAAAGATATGCTCCTTTTAGAATTATTTTGCGACTTTGCTGTTATACGGAATTTTATGGTTTAAGTGCAAAGAACATGAATTTATAAATCAGGGTCCACTGAACGTAAAAAACGCCCCTTTGACGTAATTAAATCTGAAACTTTTAGATTAAGACACATAAACAATTTAGATAAGACACAATTGGTGGTTCGGTAAAACCATCGAAACTAGTCCTGTGAAAATTTTGTAAATATAACGCTGATTTTTGTTGTTTGATTTCTGAATTACCTTTTAGATTATTTTTATTAATATTGAAATCAATTTTTATAAAAAAAGGTAATGCTTACCAAAAAGTACGAACCTCCAACTAATATTTCTTTTAAATACTGCCTTAGCCGTTTGTACAAATATATTGTTGGGGTCGTTGTGAGAATCAATTTTAGTAGAAAATGCCGAGCTAGCAATGATATCCATCGTAAAAGTTCCGTAAATTCTGGAAACAGAATGAAATATTTAATATATTATTTATATGATTCGTAGAATCAAACATTATCCATGAATAGAAATTAATAATCCAAATTTGAGACTATAACGAATAAAGACACTAACATTGCTTAGAAGAAAAAGAAAAAAATCTGCTGTGGACAACCACATAACCTCCTTGCCCGACCTATTAAATTACACATATTTTTTGCTACATTTCATTTAAACTTAATTTCATTAGATATATTTCTCCTTCAATTAATTCAGTTCTCACTTCGCGGAAAGGCAAAAATACAATACATAAAAAAGCAAAACATTTTCATTAAAAATTATAAAATATAGAAAAACGTAAAATACCAAATACAGTTTAAAATAAAGCAAGTTTACAAATAAAATTAGATTTCTATACAAAAACAAGCAATTCGGCCAGCGAGTAGGAAGACAGATTTTTCGCTGCACAAAAGTGAAAGTTTACTTTTCGTCCCACTCGGCAATAAGACGCTGAGTTTGGCCGTGGCCTTCGAGATAACATGGCCTGGTTAGCTGCGAGTGACGTCACGAAAGGCGTCCGATCCTTCCGTGACTTTCTTTGCTTCAGATTTGAATGCGAGCGTTTCGTCGATGTTTAGATGTTTTTTGTTTTTAATAATGCATAATAATAAATTTTCAGACTTGTCGGGAAACGTATAAAAAGGTCGTATATTCATTTGCAGTAGATTAATCTTTAATATATTGTTTTTTAAGAATATTCCCAAATTTCTAGCCATGTTTTAAGAGGTTATTTTGTACATTTTGTTTTTTACACTGTATTGTAATACTTTTGTTGGATACACTCAAAAAAGGTTTTTGAAATAAGTAAATAAAAGGCTGTTTTTATTAACATAAATTCTTTAAGTTTGAGAAGAGAGAATAAAGGAATGAAAGATTTAGAATATAAATATTCACTAACAAAAGTAATATAATTTGCAAATTAAAAGACATAAAAAATTTTTTTCCTTAAAACTATAATATTTCAGAGCTTCCAAACATTATGCAAATGTATTTTTTATTCATTTAAAATACTGTCTAATAAAATGGGACAGCGATCAAAGCCACAGAAAAAATTTAAATCTCAAAATTTTTAAATTAAATAAATTACAATTTTTCTGCAACATTACAGATAACGAAATAATTTTCATATATTTATAGTTATCTAGCAAAAATTAAATAATATTTACATCATTTAATAACATTTACATTGTTCTTATATTAGATGCATAGTAATATATATTTAAAATAAAGCCATCCATATAATTTCACAAAGATAAAATCAATAAATTTGCCACAAAACCTCAAAACAACTATACATAGAACAAACCATCATTTCTGTCTAATTAGCAAGACCGTGCAAGTTTGTACTAGTATAACTGAAGCAAATATTAATCGCAATTGTAATTTATTTTGAAAATTATGAGTATTATCTAAAAATAAGGACACACAAAAGATTAATAAATTAATGTAAAGATACATTATTGAAATATATTTGAATGCATCATATTTACACTATTTTACTCGGGACTATTAACTTTACTCGGTAAAACATGTATTATTAAAAAAAAATACAAGTCATTACATACCACTCATATCTTTTCATCAGCGTATTCTGACTTTTTTAAGTTTCCTTTCATCGAGGTGATACTATTGTTTTGAAGAATTATAATTGTTTACACAATCTTTGAATAGGTGTAGGGTTTATATTTATTTTAACTAACATTTATTTTAAGTTTAAACTATCTTTCCTGTCAAGCCTTACTTTCCCCTGGAACTGCCAATGCCAGAGTATGTAAATTTTAGTAGAACGCGCAAGGATTCAAATTATCAGCGGAAGTATTCTGAGTTAAATAGAAAGGAAACGAGTTCGAAGGTGTGCTGTTCTTACTTCACGAGCGCGGAGGTAGTAGTTAGAAATTGAAGAACCACGCGTTTCGGCCTGTGTGCTTGCCTCGGAGAATTGTTAATCGTTTCAACGTGATATTCAGAAGTTTGCTGAATTATCAGCGGTATTGTAAACGCGGTGAGGTTAGTTACGTTTAGAGAGCCTCGTAGTTAGAGTCTTGTTATTATTTCTTTTCAGGTTTCTTATTTTTATTTTACCGCCGGGTCGGCGTAGTTTGTGAGCGTCAAGAGCACGCAATTGTAATTTCTAAGTTGAATAAAAAGGGACTTAAACCCTTAGCAAGACTCTGTCTATTTCCAGTTTCAACAGTCACCACTTTGGTTGCGTGCAGGTTGGAGGCGCGCAACTTTACATTGGCGCCCGAACACTTGTCGAACTGAAATGGCCGAAAATCGGATGGAAGCCGCGGGACAACACCAAGAAATGGCAAGCCAATTGGAAGGATTTGGATACCTGGTCCAGACGTTGAGAGCGTCAATCAAGCCAAACGTCAATTTCGACGGAAAAAATTCGGTGGCGATATTTCTAGAAAGGCCTCGACAAATCACTTTCAGCTCTACCCTGTGCCTGAAAGACAAAAAGTTGCCATCGCCACATCTGCACTAAGAGGACAGGCCGCGCTATGGTGGAAGAATATAGGCAAATTTTTATTAGGGGAATTTGGAGGCCAGACATATACATTTGAAAATTTCAAAAAATCGTTAGTTAAAGGCCTTCCCCATAGTGAAAGATCGAGCAAGGCTAGAAGCCGAACTATATAGTTTCTATCAACGGGATATAGAAGAGTTGACGGACTTTATTCTGCGAAAAATTAAGCTGACGGATATGCTGTATGGGAAGAAACCCGACGCGGAGATTATTGAAATAATCTTACCAAGATTGTTACCTGCTGTTCAAGACTACTTCGAAATTAGAAACCCAAGCACATTGCAGGAGCTCTTCGAATTGGCGGTGAAGTTTCAAAATCGCAGAATAGCGGAAAAAGCTAGAGGGGCATCGTATTCTCAAAGTACCCGAAGGCAATCTTCAAATGAGCAAACCAGAAATGCAAACCGCTCTTATGGGGGAAAGAGCTATCAAGCTAACTCATCGAACCTCGAAGGTCAAGGCCCAAAAAGGAAATTCGAAAACAAACATCCGCGTACCCAGAAGGCAGAAGTTGAAAGGAAAGCTTTAAACGAGTAGAGGGGCCTGTGAAAGCGAGGGTCCAGACCCCGGAAGTTTTAAAAAAAACCCTCAAAAAGACACTTAAATACGGTCATCGTAAAGAACTCACATCTACCAATTATACAAGTCCTGGTTGGCGATGTACCAGTAGAAGCCCTCATCGATACAGGAGCAGAAGGTAATTTTATGAGCGAAACATTCTTCAAAAAGAATTTTTATAGGTTACGATTATTTAAAACCAAAAACACAGAAATTATAGCGGCGCAAGGAAAAACCTGTCACTGCATCGGGAAATTATCATTAAACATACAGGTAAAAGAGGAAAGCCTCAAAGTATTAATTTTTGTAGTAAAAATCTGCAAAATCCTCTTATTTTAGGTATGGAGTTTTTAAGGGCCGCGAGGGCCAAATTGAATTTTCAGGACAGTTCCGTTGGTGCTGGAGATGGACCAGAGGGTGGTGGAACCTGTGGAACAACCGCAAGTTGACCTTAGCCATTTGAATGACCATGAAAGTCAAGCCATCCAGCAAGTGGTGAGTAATTTTTTCAAACTTGTTTTCAGAAAGGCTTGGTAGCTGTCAAATAGTTACGCATGAGATACAGTTAACTGCCGAAAAACCTTGTAGGACTAAACCGTATCGTTATGATAAACAAAAAAACGTAATCATCGAAGAACATATTCAGGAAATGTTAAAGAATAAAATAATAACGCCCATAAATAGTGAGTACGCGAGTCCAGTCGTACTATGTAGGAAAAAGAACGAGTTTCCTCCTTCGGATAAAAGGGCTTGGAGGTTTGCTATCGATTACAGAAAACTGAAATAGTATTACTAAATTCCCAGTTTACCCTTTGCCGGTTATAGAGGAAATTATTAGAAAGATTAAATCTACTAAGATACATGACTACTTTGGACTTAACGTCTGGCTACTATCAAATAGCTATGAGACCCGAAGACATTCATAAAACCGTGTTTATAACAAAATCGGGCACTTATACATTTTTACTCATGCCCTTTGGGTTGTGTGGGGCCCCATCAACATTCCAGAGAGGTATGGACATTGTTCTAAAGCCTGGCCTAGGAAAATCGACTTTAATCTGTCTAGATGATATAATTATAACGAGTAGTACGTTGGAACAACATATTAAAGATCTAGAAGAAGTTTTTAAATTATTAAAAGAGGCCGGTCTTACAATTAACGCCTCAAAATGCAAGTTCGCAACTAAAGAACTTAAATATCTGGGTTATAAAATTTCGCAAAAGGGTATAGAAACTCAAGATTCAAAAATAAAAGCAATCAAGAATTTCCCACCTCCCAACACCGCCAAGAAACTTTCTTCTTTCCTTGGGTTATGTTCTTACTATCGGTCATTCATAAAAGATTTCGCTAATATTGTTGAACCACTGTTAGTAATTAAAAGAAAGAAAAGTAAATTTACGTGGACAGCGGAAGCAAATACCGCATTTGAAAGATTAAAAGAAGCGCTCATCAATGCCCCTGTTTTGAAATTCCCGGAGGGGGACGAAAACCTGGAAATTGCAGCAGATGCGTCGGACTATGCGGTGGGTGCGGTTCTTATGCAAAATAGCCATCCTCTGGCATTTTTTTTAGTAAAACGTTGAATCAGACACAAAGGAATTATACAGCTACAGAGAGAGAAACATTAGCCGTATTAATGGCTGTACACAAATTTCGAGTTTATTTCGGCAAAGCGCCAGTAACAGTCTTTTCGGATCATGCGGCTGTTGGTAGACTTTACTCGGGGAAAAACCTAACGCCCAGGTTAATAAGATGGGCTTTAAAACTCCAAGAATATAATCTAATAATAAAATATAAACCGGGTAAGGAAAACAATGTAGCTGACGCACTTTCTCGTATAAAACTGGACGATGAAGGAAATGAACTT